TTAGTACTTGAGATATCAGTGGAAAAACCGAAAATTGACTAATCATTATGCAAATTAGGTAATTAGTATCCACGGATTATTACCAAAAACTAATCAAAACCTAGCATTAGTTCAGAGCATCTATGTACCAAGTTTCATCAAAATCCAATGAGTGGTTGTTTAGATATCAGTGGAACAGTCATGGAACCACTAAAAAATAGCTAATTATCATGCAAATTAGGTAATTAATATGCACGGATTTTTACCAAAAATTAATCAAATCTGCGCATATGTTCAGAGCATCTATGTACCAAGTTTCATCAAAATCCAATGAGTGGTTCTTTAGATATCAGTGGAACAGTCATAGAACAGCTAAAAAATAGCTAATTGTCATGCAAATTAGGTAATTAACGAGCATGGATTTTTACCAAAACCTAATCAAATCTGCGCATTGGCCCAGAGCATCTATGCACCAAGTTTCATCAAAAACCTATGTATGGTTCTTGAGATATCAGTGGAACAGTCGGACACACATACACACACACATACACACATACACACATACAGACACACTAACTGCAAAGACTCCCATTTTGTGCTTCGCACATGGGAGTCAAAAATGCATGTGCATATGTCCCATATAATGTGTGATGTATGAGTGAAGTTTGAACTTAATCGGTCCATGCATGTTCGAGATACAGGTGATCACGGACGCACGGATGCACACAGGGCAAAACATAAGTCCCCATTTTCGGACTACGTCCGAACGGGGACAAACAATTGTTAATATTTTGTTTTGTGCTTCGTTATAATTAAACGTTATTTTTGATGATATAGTAATATAGTACAGCCGTGAGCAAGGTTAAAGCACATCACGCATGTGATGCAAGAACTAATCAGAGAACAGAAGAACAATTATTATACGCCAAGCTCTGTAACCTCTGCTGCTGAGCAATATAATAATGTTCGTTATTGTACTGGTTGACCCTTGACCCCTCCACCTGATCAATGAAAACACAAACAAAATATTTGTGGAGCATAAATGCTGAATCGTACAATATACAAGAACCTAAATCCTGGTATTTTGTTAATAACCTTACTATTGTACAAAACGTTTTAAAGATTCTGAAACTAATGGCTAAAATATCAATTTTGCTTTTAGAAATATTTTGCCACAGGTGCTGTCAGTTACATATTCAAAATTTGTATAATCAAACGTACCACCAGCACTCCACTGATGCAATTCTGTGTGTTCTTTCTTACTTGATCAAACAATAAGAAGGTTCATAACCAATCTTAGACTTTCATAAAAGCTATAAAAACTATCTAGCCATTGTATTTGTGCTGTCAAGTTACAAACATCTCCAGAAAGCATTATAACATGTAATAACAACCAGAAGATGTAGTCAACTTTGAAAATCAGCAGCTGAGATACTGCAACCTTGATTCACGATATTTACTCATATATTGTACCAGATCGCGTTAGTGCCCATGCCAGGTCAAGCGCCCACCCCCCACTTTTGTGAAATTTTCATATTCGGGGTCACATTCAGCAAAGTGCCCGCCCCTTCAAAATGCCACTAATTTAAAACTTGGTCTATGATCATTGCTTAACAAATTTGATACAGCGTTGATATCGACTGCCGTGAATAAGTTGTGAATGCGTAGACCACGGTAACCGTGCATAAACTACGCTTCGACAATGACCTTTTAATAAAAGTAAAATGCGGTAAATATTTCATGCCATATTCAGTTCACCTATTAAAATTGCTAGTTACCAGTTTTTTGAAAAAATCATGCCATTTATTCGCCGAAATCAATTCCAACAGATTGCACTTCAACATTGATACCCGGTAATTCACTTTCGCATTGCGTTACCAGAATATCTTTGGGAATTTCCGAAGAAATGCATCAGTACAACACGGCATTCTCATTGGTTAATGACATACTTGACCCATTAAATCAAAGGACATTGTTGCAGGTCAGATCTTGTAGGAATACATCATGGCGGAAGATGCTTTTCATCGAGTGTACAATCCAACACACTTATCAGTAGAGATAATGATGAAGATTTTGACTGTAACTGTGTTCCAACAGACACTAATATTTTTGACCTTGTAAATTCAGGTGGTATGCAATTAATATTGTAATAAAATGTGGATATTTTTTGTGACCATTTCTGTTTCTTCATTGTAAAACACAATGACGACGCAACTAATTTTGTAATTTTATTTCGCCTCAAAGAAGTACGGTACTATCCCCCACAATCTGTCACATGGTGAATTAGAATTGTCATTTGCACTCGGGTAAGCGCTAACCCCCAAAAAAATCATGATTTTCTGAGTTGAGGACACTGGGAGTTAATGAGGCCCAGTACAGTAAATATGTATCTGTAGTCCTGGCAAATCATGTCCCAGTACACTGAAGCTCAGACTGATATTGAAACAGCAGAATAGCAGTGTGGGGATGGTGAAGCTGACGAGGCATTCCAGACATTATGAAAAGAAGTGTTGTCAGGCCCTAACTCAACACTGTACAAACATAACTTTAGACTGCTCAGTTTCATTTTTTTTTTATCATTTTAGTTCAAAAAATGCATATGATAATAGGTTATACACAAAATACTGGATTTTATGTCTTCATACATCGTACGCTACATTATTATTCGAATGACGTCTCTGGATAAAACTTCTGTGTACGATGCACTCAGACATAAATTCAGGTTTTTTGTGAATAACCTATTATTACAGAACATTAGAAAGTGCATATAGAGAATTTTAACTATAGTGCTGCTTTACTCTGTCACAGTGTACTCATCTCTAGGTTGTCACTATATTGGTAGCCATGGCAACCACATTTTATCATTGTCCACTAACAACTATAAGATGGTAGCTAGTCAGTTTTTTATTCACAATATTGCTACTTATATAAGGTTTACCTTTATCTTGAAGTCATCAATGAGCTCCAAAAGTTCAGGCGATTCTTTTTTCAGCAACTGTAATGATGGAAAATAATTTGTAGCTGGTTATCATGGAAAATATACAGGATGTTGCATACATTAACCATCATAATATTTCTCACCTCAAGTTTCTCTCTCTTTGCAAGTTTTGTCAGGTCCTTGATAACTTTTTCTTGTTCATTTTTATCTGTTTTTTTTACTTCCAGTTTGACTGTTGGTACCTGTATAAGACAATACAGTAAAAATTACATAACTCATTGATATTTCTATAAATTACTTTACACAAAGATTTCTCTTACCATACTTCCCTGATCATAAGCCCTTCCCTGGCTAAAACCTACCCCTTAGTTTTTAGAAATTTAACGAGTTGAGGGGTTTTGAAAATAGGTTTAATCTAAAATTAAAGATGTTGTCCATCAATATATGGGTGTAGAGAGTGTGTTTCATTGCACGAAACTTGTGAATTGTACTGTTCTTCTCTTTTTGGAGTGTGGGGTGGCCCTAAAAAGAGCTGTTTGATTTGCGAGTAAAACTTGCATACCGTAAATTATGTATGGCAAGCAACACCACAACTTTTACACTCTTTTTGTTCTGTTATTACTCAAGATGAATCCAGTGCTATACAATACTAGAAATCCAAAGTGAATGGAAAGAGGTGGCTTCCGAAACACAAAACATGTGGTCATAGGACATAGTTTCATTTTTCTCAATAATTACAGTGCATGACTATTGTAAATGCTTATTGACTAGAGGAAAAGGTGTTTAATACTGTTTTTACACTTTTCAAAATGGTTCACCTCTCAAAAAGTGTTAATCATGTTGGAGAACATTGCTTTCTGTTCAGAAAAAAATGGCTGAAATTGTATTGCATTGAAAATATTCAACAACAAAGATCTTGACTTGCACTGGAAATATTGATGGTACATGTTATGTAAGTAAATAATTTTGCTTGTGAACATTTTTTTCTCTACAAAAGTGTTGTGAAACTAATTTTTTCAATTTTATTTTGCCCGAAAGGACGTAATTTCCTCTAATCTGGCACATGGTGAACGATGGATAATTTTTTAAGAGGAGGGCATGGCTAAAATGATAATTAGGAATTCTTCATCTTTTCTGAGGTGGTCCTTAGGTGTATGCCTCCTTACAATTCCTCCAATTTTATATGTTGAAGCCTCAAGGCTTATGACCCAGTCAAGTATGGTACTTGTATACAGGTTTAGTCTCAGACCACTAATTTAAAACTCCTTTATACAAGGTACATTTATGCAATGGTATATCTGAATAAGCTTTAACAAACATACAAAAAATACTTCTTACTACTATGTTTTTTACATTACCATAGGCATACTAACTTTGAGTGTAAAAAGTTTTTGGGGAGATTGCCAAAGAAATCAGGAAATAAACACTGTTGACAGGAAATAAACACTGTTGATATAAAGACAAAAACAAATCTTCCATATAAAAAGCATTCAACATAAAAACTGGATTAACCCTTTACATAACAAAGGCTACCAGGCAACTCTATCTTATATTCAAATGTGTACCAACCTTGAATAGCTCCATCCCAAAATCTTCTTCTTGTAGGGTCTCTGCCATTCGTTGCTGCAATGCCAACGCTTCTTGCTCTTCTTCGTCTCGAGCAGCTTCCTCGTCTGACTCGCTCAAACCTGACAACCAAACATACTACATTTGAAATATTATCAAACTGTAGGTCAAGACAGATCTCTGACAGACAAGAACATGTTCCGATTAGTGGTACCCACAACATACATAATACATTATAATTGTGTGTTTGTTGGCGGGAAATTCAAATGATTTCTTACTGTCGATTTTTATTATTGGTTTATTTGTCACATTATAAGCAATAAATTATTTTTGTTATACTTCTAATGTTGCATATTGTTCATTTATTTCCGTTGTATGTTTTCATTTGCCATTCTATTCCCTGCCGCAGTTCGATCTATGCGTTGTCAATTTTCACGAATTTTCGTTTTTTTTGCAGGGGATGTCCGGGCATACGCCCACCCCTATTATTTTAAATTTTCCAAGTTCAGGACCCTGGGCTCTTACCCGGATAAATACAGTACTGTAAAATGACTAATTTTCACTAGGTTTAAATTTCACTGATTTAGCATTTCAGGCATATTCAGTGGGTTTTAAATTCACGGTTTTATCATTGAGATAATGTGTTCTATGCTAAATTTTACATAATCACTGGGTTTTAATTTAGCACATTTTCCATTCAGTGAAATAAGCAAAATTAAAACCCAGTGAATAATTAACCCCTTTACAGTAATATGCATAGGATTTCAATCCAAACTAATGAGTACTGCGCATTATCCCAGAGCATATACCAGTAAGTACCAAGTTACATTGAAATCTTTTAATACATTTTGTACTACATAAGGAACGGGTGAAAATGCTTAACATCGGTTAATTAATATGCAAATTAGGTAATTAATATGCAAATATTTCAACCTAAAACTAAGCAGGTCTAAGCATTATCCCAGAACATCTAGGTATTAAGTTTCATTAAAACACACACACACAGATACAATAACTGCAAATACTCCCATTGTGTGCTTTGCATACCTGGTAAATCATCATCTACATAGTCTGTATGGTAGAATATATTCTTTTTTTTCCCCCATGCCTTGGAGTCTGGAATATTATCTTTATTTTGATCCTCCAATTCATCACTTGATATGTCCGCATCATCTTCTCCAAAATCTTCATCATCTTCAGATAGTTCCAAATTAAGAACCTCCTAATTTTGATATTAAAAAAACATCATTTTATTTAATACAGTAATACAATTGAAGACAAAGCAACTACAACAAAAAAATGTCACATGGGTGTGGGTAATAAATCACCATGACAACATTCACAAATCATATAGTGGTATACTATAAGAAGTGCTAAAGAATCACACATGACCAAAAACTTAGTTTATTGTATATTGGAATATTATAATATGGTTTGATTATAGCTATATCATTTACATCATGGGGGAAGAGTTCCTTTCGTACCCCCCATCCCTAATTTTAATACTCCCTGTTACCCAATTCATTTGTATATGCCCCCTCTAGATAACTATAGATGTCCTTAGGAGGGCATGTACAATTAAATGGGGAGTGCTGGAGGGTAGGGGTAGGGGTAGGGGCAGGGATAGGAGGGTACAAAAGGAACTCTTTCCCATCATGGTTACTTAAAGACGGTTAGGAAATGCTTTTGTTAAATAGTGTGAATTTGCCTAACGATGTTGTATCTCCCACAAATTTAAAAAAAAAAACAGAATGTTTTTGATAGAGTATTCACGTTTTAGTGCCACAGTTCAACCAAGAAATGAACGACTCGGCTAAGTACTCTTTGTAATTGTGATAATCTTCAGAATCGAGAATCACTGGTAATCATTTTCACTGTTCCACTGCCGTGTGAGGCCAAGTACCGGGGGGTACCGGTAGAAAAAAATGACGAAAATTCCAATCCAAAAATCTTTTTCAGAATGTTTCACATATGAATATTATTGGTCCGATGAATTTATAGTACTCTTTTTGTATATTTTATGAAAGTTTTAGGTGATTTGGGAACTAATTGGAAACAGTTGTGTGCTTTTCCTTTCTCAGCATGGTGTTTTGTGTTAAGTCGCTACAATTTTTTTTTAGATGCCAAAAAATTCGCTATTGAATTTTTAATAATTTTTGTGTTCCAAGGTCCCATTTTTGTGTTCCATGGTCCTATTTTTGTGTTCCATGGTCCCATTTTTGTGACAACTTAATTATGTTGCAATATTTGAAGCCGTAAACTGTAACTTTAGTTGACGTGATGATTCTTGAACACAAAATTCCTTTGATTTGAATCTCTTTTTTTCTTTCCAACAAGATGTATGTGGTGTGATATCAACATTTCTATAATTCCTGTGATATCTTCTTTTCTGATCATGTGTTTTTTTTTATTTCAGTTTTCTGCTGATCTTGTTCTTAAAAGAATGCGATTTGTTCCTAAATGGTGTTTTTTAGTACCAGTAACAATGTTTAAATAAAGTACATGTGCTATTCATATC